AGGAAGCTGTCAGGGTTAAAAGCTTGGTGTCTCTGCCTCTTCACAGGAGACCAGCCTGGAGCAGATCTAGGGCCTCTAATCAGTCCCCAAGCTAAGGAACGGGTTTGCCGTCTGATTGAGGCAGGAGTAAAAGAAGGTGCCAGCCTTCTTCTGGATGGACGTAACATCAAAGTGAAGGGCTATGAAAATGGGAATTTTGTTGGACCAACGATCCTTGCCAAGGTCAAGGTAAGATGACCAGAACCAGCGCTTCTTAGTGTATATTGCAGGGTCAGTTGAAGAATGAGTTGTCCAGATCAGTCAGTAATCAATAAACACCAGGTAGAAAGCCCGTAAATGGCTCAGCCTTCCCTTGCACAATTCCCATGAAGTGCCCATTGTAATGCTGCTGTGGAGGCTATAAAAGGATTCGCAGTAGTGCAGCATACTCGGAGTGAGGTCAATGATCTTAACTTGAACGGAGCGCAGCCAATCAAAAGAAGGTATGGGCAGTTTGTACTGCGTTAAACTAAATGTCCTTCAAGCATAGCGTACTATCTGTAGTGAGGGCCAGCAGCAAATGCCGAGGAAGAGTATGATGAACAGCCAAACTTGCAATTTTCCTTCTTCTGTTATACATTCCTGCAGTTTGCAATTTAAGGACTTGCAGAAAAGTTAAATATTTGTGGAAATCTTTGTGCAAATAATATAGGATAAGGTACAAAGTCTGTTTGTTGTTGAATATATTCACAACTTCATTGACTCAGCCTCTCAATATAATGCATCGTGTGCAAAAGATGGACACTACTGTGGGGGAATATTCTTTACCAGGCACACATCCATGTGAGTGTTCATAGCTAAATTCATTGGTTTGTGTTTATGCAATTAGCTGGTCTGATTTCCTTAATGTTTAAGTATTCAGTTCATCATGGGCCTTTTAGTGAGTGATTCCATGGTAGCAAACCAATCTCAATACTTCTGCTATTGTACTTTGTATTCTTAGGATTTTATTGATTTTATGCTATTATGTAATTCAGTCTTTTAATCTAGTTCAGAATTTCCTTGCCTTATTTTTATTAAACATCTTAAAATACATCACTTTCCTGTGATGTGTCATAAATAGTTGTGTATTCAAAAATGAAAGTTTCACTTTGCAATTCTTAGTTTTCTTACACAGTGGTTAATCATAGAATCATAGTTTGGGTTGGAAGGGACCTTTAAAGGTCATCTAGCCCAACACCTCTGCAATGAGCAGGGACATCTTCAGCTAGATCAGGTTGCTCAGAGCCCTGTCCAACCTGACCTTCAGTATTTCCAGGAAGGGGACATCTACCACCTCTCTGGGCAACCTGTGACAGTGTTTCTCCACCCTCATTGTAAAAAAATTCTTCCTTATATTGTCTAAATCTGCCCTCTTTTAGTTTAAAACCGTTAGCCCTTGTCCTATCACAACAGGCCCTGCTTAAAAGTTTGTCCCCGTCTTTCATATAAGCCCCCTTTAAGTACTGAAAGGCTGCAGTAAGGTCTTCCCAGCGCCTTCTCTTCTCCAAGGTGAACAACCCCAGCTCTCTCAGCCTTCTTCATATGTTAAGCCACGTAAAACTTAGAACTTGTCAAATTAATGTTTTGTAGTTTGCTGTACTAGGTATTACTGATTAAAGTACTCTCCAGCTGGTGTTCTTGTATTTGTCAGATATTGCTAATTATCAGATATAAATCCTGGACACTGAATTGAAAAGGATAGCGGGTTCTAGTCACTTTGTCAACAAGAACTGAAGTAAACTATCCTGAATTAATCCCAGTCTTAATCAGCCTTGGTCAGAGTAGACCTGTCAGTGAGGTTAGGCAGGCTTTAAAAGCAGAAAGGGCTCTGGAGATGAAAAGTGGTACCCTCTTTAGTGGACTAGATAGATGGCAGGGCATGGGACATGGTGGAAAGGCACAGAGGACTGAAGGATGGCCTGTGGCAATGCAGTATGATGGGTGATCCTAGGAATATCCTGGTCATTAGCAGCATGTGTGTTTATTATATCCTATTTCCTAGAATATTTTTATTATATCTTATATACAAGCTGCTTTTTTCTGTTGTCTCGGCAGCCAAACATGAGTTGCTATAAGGAGGAAATCTTTGGGCCCGTCTTAGTGGTTCTGGAAGCGGACACTTTGGATGATGCCATTGAGATGGTGAACAATAACCCCTATGGAAATGGGACTGCAATCTTCACTACCAATGGAGCCACAGCTCGGAAATATTCTCACTTAGTAGATGTGGGGCAGGTATGTTCAAGCTAGAATTGTTGCTATTAGTGCTCACCGTTTACAGTGGGTAGCCATCCAGCTGTAGTCACTACTCACTGACTACTCAGCCAACAGTAACCAGCCTCAGATTTAAGGAAACAAAATACAGTAGCTTTTGGAGAGTGCTCTGCAATCTGCTACTTCTTGTCATTAATATGGCAGTTTTCATTTGGTTTAGGTGGGTGTCAACGTTCCAATCCCAGTACCTCTGCCCATGTTCTCTTTCACTGGCTCCCGCGCTTCTTTCAGAGGAGACACCAATTTCTATGGCAAGCAGGTAACTTACTGATGCACAGTACTCTATTGGGTGGAATTGCGATAAATCACATTATAAATGGCAATGGGAGATGGTCATCAGACCTCATTAGTAAGGAGACTTTGAAGCCATCTCAACCAGGAAACTGAACACCAGCCAGTGATCACAGCCACCATAATGCATGGTACAATAGCCAATTTCCTTTTCTTAAATATAAAAAAGCAAGTCTTTTTTTAGGAGATTTGAGAAGGGAGCAACAACTAAGTAGCAAGCTTTCTCACAGAACCAGAATCTTTGGGGAACTGGCAGAAGGACAGGCTGACTGGAGTTACTCCCACAGAGGAAAACTGAACCCTCTGTATGTAAAGCAAAAACTGTCTGACACACCACTAGCGCAGACCTGAAGAATTCATAAAGCCAAACAGCTGATAGTGGTGTCTCTCCTTTCTTTCCCACAGGGCGTGCAGTTCTACACACAGCTGAAAACTATCATTTCTCAATGGAAAGAGGAAGATGCCACTGTTACCAAGCCTGCTGTGGTTATGCCAACCATGGGAAACTAAATCAGCCTTTATAGACGCTGTTCCTGGTGCCCTTCTCCTTCTATGCTGCACTTTCCAGCTCTGTCCTGACTATCACTATTTCCTTGGGAATGAACAGAAAGCTCCATTTTCTCAAGGGCCTCTGTTTCTGTGCAGATCAGGCAGGCTCATGTAACATACAGTCTGGGTTTTCTGTTGCTGTCAGTGTTATTTGGCTGGCCGAACTAATTTTTTTTCCTACAACCTATCACACATGAAACAACTTTATCTAATTGAAAGGGCAGACAGTGACATTGGTCGTAATTTGTATTTCTTTCCAGACCCTCTGAACTTGAACATTACTCTGGCATATTAAGAATTTGAGTTCACCTTACTCAAGTACGAGTACTCATTTTGAGTGACATAACTGGGACAGCTTGGGTGTCTCACAAAAGTCACTTTACATACAATGAAGACAGCAAGTTTGGGAGTTGAAAATATCAGTCTTTCATCCATTGAGCAGTTTCCAAAACACTTGGGAAGCAGCTTTCTAAGGATTTTTCAGGAAAGCGTATCTGATTGCTTGTCTGAGGATGAAAGAAATCCCTGTATGGTACAGTGACCTTCACTGTGCCTCTGACAGCTTGAGAACTTCTGTTCCTGTCGTGCATGTGGCTTGTATTCTCCAGCTTGCCATCAATTCCGTTATACCTGAAAGTTGTTTGGTGCCTTCTTACTGTGCTGACGGAGACGTGCCTAAAGGCCCTGTAACACAGTGAAACTGTGGAAGCAGAAACATAAGCCTGTGTATGTATCTTCACGTCACAGCATCGTGTGGGTCTGGATGGAAGGGAGGGTAAGTAGACAGGTTAGCAGGAAGAAAGAACACATTTTTTTAATCACAAAGCAGCCAGGCCCATTCTGTTGGTTTCTTTTCCTGACTACAGCTGTGTTTCTTGTGCTGATTGATTGACTCCTTGTCACATTTGCTCAAACACAGTCATGTTCTCTAGGGACTGCAGGTCCCGTTACTAGAGAAGGATAAGACTTGGTATACTCTGTTTTTACGAATCTTTGCATTTGGAGCTGAAGAGCCTATATTTTTGTTCCTGGTTCCTGGAAGATAATGCAGGGAACTCATTCAAGCACCCATGGAAAACAGTGTTATTCTAATGATTGTAACCATTACTTGTTCTGATTAAACAACCTAAATGTGAACACTTTGTATCCTGCCTTCTGGTAAAGATACGTTGTAACTGACAGTTATGTATTAGTGCAGTTGCTGTGGATTCATTAATGTTTGTATCTTACTTTTTTCCTCTGCTGTACTCTAGAGGGAAATTCTCACTTTGCAATTTTATTACAAATTAAAAACATGCTAATACATTTCTGCAGAATATGACTGTTCTTTGGTAAGACATTATATAGGAGTGACGTTGACTTCATTCCCCTCTTTGCAGAGGCTGGTCTGTGACTCCTTAACTCATGTATACATCTTCCTTTTACAGTATTTCAAGGACTTCTGTACCAATTTCCTCATACAGCATTTCAAGGAATGCCTTGTTGCTGTTTCCACATACACATCATTTGATCACAAAAACTCTTAAGCTTCACATAAATGGCTGTTACAAACTGAAAATATATCTTCATCAAGTTATAGCAACACATATATACAGAGTTCTAACCACTAATCCAAATCCTAGAGCTGTGTACAGGGTCATCTGAGCTCCTGGCTTGGGAAAGATTAAATTATTTTAAGAAGGAGGAAAATTATTTCAGATGGAATTCAAACGTGTAGTCAAAGCAGCGGTGTGACAGGCAGGGGATTTAGAATTCACAGCTTTTCTCACAAGATAGCTTCTGAAATGAAATGGGCAGATGAGTCTGTAATTGCTGTGGCTGTTGTTCATTCAAAGGGAACAGCTGCCTTACTCTGTCTGTGGTGTTTACATCTGAATATGTGGAAGGATTACTGCAGACGATGATGAATCTGATAATTTGGCCTGCTGTGTAATGAATATTAGGTTGGGAGTATTTTCTGTGCTGCAAAGGTAAAATATTCTAGGTAAATCACCATTAAGACATTGGCATTCACGCATGCACCTGGGAAAGGAATACTAGTTAACAGCCTCGAAGATTGTCTACAGTCCTTCACTTTCAAAACACCTTAATTTTCTTTCTAATCAGTATTGCTATTCTGACTAGTCTGTTGACCTATTAAAACTCATTATATCTTTCATTTCAAAATTCTGAAATCCAGTTTCTCTTGTAGTAAAAGCAGTCTTTATTACCAAGCCTACTTGCTCCCTGAAGAACTGCAGGAGTATCCCTGCACTTTCTCCAGACCCGTTCTAGAGACTTGTGTAATCTTTTGTATGCAAAAATCTTTTCTGATTATCTGCATTTCCAATAGCATTTTTTAAACAGATGGTTTTAAATAATTGTACTAGAAATACAAATCTTGTGTCTGTGTTTTTTAGCTAATGAAATGTTTTTTTAGATCAAGCGGCAGATGCTCCTGTCTCATCTCAACTGCTGTTACTACTTTCCATCCACTTGTTTATTCTCCTTTTCATTTCAACATTCGCTATAAAAAATAATCTAAAGAATTTATCTTCTATATTACACAAAAGTATAACCTAAGTATAAAGTATCTCATAATACATCTCTTTAGATTCTTTTAAAATACAGTTCTTTCGTCCACCCTTTGTCTCCTATTAAAAATCATTTCTTGCCTAGAAGGCACTGCAGTCTAGAGTTTCAAAGCTATTTGATACTCTTAAGTCCAAAAATCATGTTAAAATAGTTTAACCACCTTTGAGAATTGGGCCCTGTGACTTCCACTTCTGCTTGTTTTCCCTGTCTATGTGAAAAAAAGGCTACAACTCACTTCTGCTCCCATGTCTGGAAATGGCAGGCTGCCTCTCCAGAGGAGGTGGCTCTTGTCTTTCTATAGAAATTCCTCCAGGGTTCCTGCTTATGAACTTCATCTGGTCATTCAATGCATGAATATTACATTTAAAGTTCTGTGTGCGTGACTGCCTCAGGACTGACACGACACTCCACGATGGGATGCCAGAATCCCTCCCTACTTATTCCTCCAGGGTAAATTGATATTGCTTGCCTTGGAGTATTATAATTAGCTATATGGTTGTATCTGAAAATCAGGCACATGAATCTTCATCCTGGTCCTTTCTCTCTAGTGGTTCTATACTGAATGCGACACCAGCTTAATAGACTTTCCCTTTTAATTAAAACTTGCTGCACTAACTGAAAGTGCAACTCCTTCTATGATCATGGTCTTTCACAAGAGAATCCTCCAAAAATAATTAAGCTGATTTTCAATACGAGGAGGCTTTAAGGGGGCATGAGATCAATTTTTTTTTCATGAAAGCCGAGTCTAAATGCCTGCTGCTAAAAGATTAACAGACCAGAAATTTCAAAATAAATAAACAATTCTCCTCTCGTCACACATACATTTATTTGTGTATAGACAGGCTAATATAGATCTTCAGACAAACCAATGCATGCTAAGGTGGGAGGGATGACAGAGAGACAATTGCACCCATTTATATATAATCAGGCCTGAGGAGATGTTAGATAGTTAGCATAATTTAGCATCTTACCCAAGTTTGCTTTCTTCTTTAGTATCGTCAGGAGCAGGAACTGAAGTAGCCAACACCCTGCTGTGTTTCCTGTGAGGAAGAAACAAGAGCAAAGTAACCCTCATCTAATGGTGATTTATGCTCAGCCAGGTTTCTAATCCCACACCAAACTCCATTTCTAAAACAAACAGCAAACAAGGAATGCCAGGGCACCTGAGCTGTGGCAGTCCATTATCTGAAATCAGCACTATGAATCAAACATGAGTTCAGTTCACTGTGCATTTTAGATTTCTCTTTGGGCCCTCTTATGCCCCAGTTCACAGCTTACAATATATTTAATGCTGTTTGAATTCTGAATTTCCCGTGTAAGCTATATTTTAGGTATCTCTAAAGTCACGCTCCCAAGTTTCTTACGCAGACAGCAATGAGCCATAGGGTAAGTACACTTTTAATAATCTGGTTGTGGATAGTTGTACTTTTTAATACTGGGCAGATTGCTTTATGGTACTCCACTAAAAGGAAATATATGTGGGGAGTGCTACTGTCACAATACACGTTATCTACTTGTTTGGTAAAGACAGATAAGGATTCCTTAATGACTGAACAAAATTAATCCCACTGCGCTGAGCAACGTTAATTCTCTGTCTTCCTCAGCACTACCAAAATTTACTTCTACTATCTCTTCTTCTGATACTACACACAAAGATCTAACAGTATAGTCTGGTGCATGTCCAAAATTAGTATATAGTATATCAACTTTTTTAGAAGGTTAAATCACCTTTTTCAAAAGGTTAAAGTATCTCACACCAAGCCACACAGCTAGCTAGATTCTTATGCTAGATTCAGAGTTTCCTGGAACCCCCTAGCCTGGAGTTATCAGCCCAGCTGCTGTAACAGGGAAAGCTCAGCATTCACCTACTGAAGAAACAAGATTACCATGGATTTGCGCAATTCATTTTGGCAAAAAGCAATCTCAGAACACGTTCTTTTTGCTCCCATGTCAAGTGACTGATATCCACTTTTTCAGACTGGATTTTTTCCCTAAAAAACACAGAAAAGATCAGTGTATTAGAAGAAAATCACAAAGGCATATCTCTCATGGATTCTGTGTGTTTAAAACAGGTTTTCAGTTCTAGCTCTGCATTGTTCTTGTTCAGCTATTCATAGCATGTACATTAAAAAAATAAAGCTGAGCACACAGTGCTGTCTTGTCAACTTCTAAATCTATACCTCTCTAAAACAAGTAGAACAAATCCAATGATTTCTGTTCTGTTTGTAGTGGTTACAAATACTGGAAGGGGAAGCGTTAGTACCAATGTGCATTAGTTTCAAGTATTTCCTTGCTTCTTCTGTTCACACATAAAAGGGTCAATATGTATAACCAATATTTTCATTCTTGGCTCCAACCTCCTCCTTCTCTTGCTCCGAGGAGCACCTTCCTTAAATCTCTGTTACTACTTTCACCTCTGAGTTTTCATGAAGTGTTTCTGCTGTATCATTTTTGAGATAAGATAACCTGAACTGAACAAAGCGTTCTGACTGATTGTGTGTTGCTAAGTTATTCAATAGCCAATGCATACTAAGCAAACATTTTATTTGGGAGTAGGGTAATTTTGATCCCTCATCAAAGAGGTATGCAAGCTTCAGCTACGGGGGGCCTTAACTCTGTGCCTTAAAATCCAAGTGCCTGGACACTGCTGCAGTTTGTAGGCACAAATTTCTAGCAGGAGGTTGGAGACCTGTGATCCTGGCCACTGTGGCATACATAGCCCTAATTTAAACTAAGCCGCATTCTAATAAAAATCCTGAAATACTCACACTTATAAATCTGAGATTTTGTTTTATTCATTATAAAATGTAATTCTGTCAATCAGTACTGTACTGTGTGAGATCTTGGTTTTGATATGTCAGTGTCTATTTCTTGTAATGGCTCAAATTTTAGATTACTGTGAAGCTTGAGGAAAACAGGCTTTGAAAGCACATTGTAAAGCAGGGGCTTCTGCCATATGGATGAACAGTTGAAAGAAGACTGGATTTGCCATCTACTGGATGTTTCTGTTAAAATAATCAGCAATATAGTAAAGAGCTGTTAGCATCTTAATTGTAATTTTTAGACTTCAATGTGTTAGCTCACTGGAGTGAGTAAAAAGTAGAAGAGCAACGCCTATAAAACAAAAAGATTAGAGAAACAACAATAATTATTAAAAGGAAACTGCAGAAGCACATCTATACTGGAAGTTCTGTATCAAATGCCACAGCACATGGCAGAATATTCAAAGAACTCTTTCAAGCTTATCTTTTAATTTAATCCATAGAAATAATGACCAAAACCTTATAGCCTAGTTGAAATTAAATGCCTACAAAGTCATTACGCATTGCTAGGATAGTACACCTCATAGTTATTCTCACTACAGAAGCCTCCACAAGCATCCAAATCCAGACAATATTATCATGCAAAGGGTTTTTTTCAGGTGTGCTAGGAAGATAAACACCAGTTTTTGATGTTTCAATATCAGTAGCATTTCTCTGCTTCCTCTAGGTCTCTGTACACACTATTTGTGCTATTTATGTTGCTTTTGAATGTTTTGATTTTGGGGAATTCTCCCTTCCCTGCACATGACTCCATCATTTTTCTGTAATAGGCAGTTTGGGCTTTTTTCATGTAGTGCTTTCTACTGGATATGATCTCCTGCTTCACATGTTCCAGAGCATCTAGGAAGAACCTTTCCACCTCAGTCCTCTCATTTAAGATATTCTGGGCTAGTTTCCTTACTCGGTTCATCTCCCGATCCTTCATTTCTAGTAGCTGCTGCAGTTTCTTAATCTCCAGCATGTTTGTCTGGTTTTCTGTCAGTGCCTGATGCTGTGTTTTCTGAGCCTCTCTCACAGATTCTCTGTTCATTCGACATAAGGCCGTCTCCAGCTTTTCCACTTTACGGTGCAGGTCTCTAATCTGTGCTTTCTGGCGATTGATCTGTAGGATCTTTTTTTGGATCAAACCCTCATTGGTTTCCTAAAAGATAAGAAGAAATTATTTGTGCTTTTATATAATTTGCACCAAATCTGGAGGTGTTTTTTTTTTTTCTCCCAACACTGACAATGTAGTAAACATGCTGGCACCTTCACATTGGAGAGTGAATACTTCTCTGTGATCGGGTTTTTGTTTACAAGAGAAGCCAGATAAAGAAGGCTTGGTATGTAATATACATAACAGAGAGACCTGTTCTTAGCTGGCTAGTGTAGGAAACCCTTCATTCTTTCTCCTCCATCATTAAGATAAAATATGAGCTCTTCTTCAAACAACTCTGAATTCAGTAACTGTGAAGGCATCTAACCAGGGAGAGGTCAGTCTCGGTAAATTTACATCTGTATCCAGATGTACCCCTTCCTGGAGGAGAACAAAACAGAATTAAAACCAGAGCAGAAACCTTCTCCTGTAATAGCAAAGCTTTGTCCTCTTCTAACTTCTGTACAATTTTCTGCAATTCTATTGTCGCTTTCATCTGGTAAGCAAATGCACCATGAAGACAAATATTCTTCTTAAACACCTCTCTCCCAGTGCTGTTCAGCTGCCTGAAGAGAGGAAAACAAAACCCCAGAGCTTTAATCACAACATTTCCTGCTTTTTTTTTTATTAATATCAATATTTCAGTGTCCTAATTTCAGAGCTAAGCTGTAGAATTCTCACAGGTCTATACCAAGTTTTCATAGCTTTGCTTCTAGTCCTACATCTGGACTGGGAGAATGAAGAAAACAGCAGTACCACTGTGATAATATTACCTCCAGTTCTCCCCTGGAACCGGCATGAGTCTTACAGTTTAAATGTAAGTGCTGACATCATCTTGACATTTGAAACAGAAAAACAACCTAGGTCACACTGATTTTGCCCTTCAAAGCCCATGTGGTAACATGCACAAATTGTTATTTAGAACAGGGCTAAAATGGTTTTGTAAAGTAGAAAACAGGAAAAGCAAGTGTGTCTTACAGAATAGCCTCATCCTGGGTGGTCTCTGCCATCATTATTTGCTTTTTCTCAGCATCTTCTTCCAGTCCTTTCTGAAAGGGAGAAAAGCCTGTTTAAATTTTGCATGAGACCTGTGGCACCAAAGCTAAAATCTGAAACAGTATAAATTCTCAAATCACACCCACAGTTTTCAGCTCACCCACCTTCTTGCTACAGAAAGAATGAACCCCCCCAGAGCACTGAAGCTCCTTATGGAAGTGGAGAATACGGCCTCTCTGGGATCCTGACATCCCATGTTTTTCCTTGGAAAGCTACACCTAAACTCCAATGCATTCATCACACTTGTATTGACATGGCAAATTGTAAAGTACTCAGTGAAAAACTGTGAAGTCTATAAACCAGAGTAGTCAGTGGGAGAAATAATTTTGTTCTAATAAACCTTTGTTTAACTGCGTGCCAGTCTTTACCTTTGCTTCAAGAAACCTCCTCTCCAATCTCAAACCACTTCCTGATGTCTCCTGTTTGATATCTCCACACTCTCTTTTAACTATGATAAAAAATAAAATTTCTTTAATAGTGGTGTTTTATTTCAGCCACATAAATGTGGATGTACTCGTCAAGAAGGAATTTGATAGTCTCTCCTGGCACTACCCGCAGTCTTCATCAATTTTTTTACACAATCTATAAAATTAATTTAACATTCTGACTTGTATTATTGCTGTGCTTCCCCTTCAGAGTTCACCTAATGCCCATATTTTCACAACACTGACAGTCATTCACACACACCCTGTCACTGTTTAATGCTCAGTTTTAGAAATCCACTTTACTTTGTCTATTCATTCAACAATCAAGATCATTGAAAGTCCAATGCCCCAAGCGTTCTTTGAAACATGCCTGCTAACTCGCATTGAATATCTTAGCTTAAAAGCAGCTATATACTAATAATCTAAATGCTGTTGACCAATCATTTCTCTCCACGTGTTGTTGTAGTAAGGTTCGGGATGTGGTAAAGACACAGACACAACAGATAAATCAAAACACAATTTCTTTATTGCTCCCAAGGAAAAAGCGATACCAAAAAAAAACCCCCCAAACCCCCCAATCATATTCACAATGCTGTACTTGCCAATGTAATCATGACCTCAGGTGACAGAGCCCGCATGGAGTCGGGACTGAGGTAGAGTGGCAGGCACGATCTCTTAAGCGGGGGTCCCCGCGGAGACAACGCTGGTCTCGGTGTGGTGGATGTCTCACTCCCTCTTTGTTCTCTCCATCTTTTATAGCATTGTGCATCCTGCCACGCAGGGCCAGTACGTGCCAGGAGGCAGGAGCAACTCCACCCTCGCATGGTCCATAACCTCAGAGGAGGTGCGCAAGCACGCTCCTCCTCTGGAGGGGCTCTCATCACTCTTACGGGGTCTTGCCTTCCTCATCATACTCTTCATCAGCTCAACTTTGACCTTCAAACCGAGTCTGGAGGACAAATGCAGTTACCTTGGCGATCTGCCTAGTTGCAAGACAGCTGTGTTTCCTCTTTGGCTCCATCCAGGTGAATTAACTTCCTTACTTGCGTCCCTAATGGTACATGATTGCTTAACCAGTGTCCTTCACCTCATAATGTTTTCCTTATTTCAGCCTCTACAGATCAAGTATTTTTTTCATCCCTAATACACCACGGAAAGCATTTGGTGTTAGTTCTAAGACCCTTCTTGCAAAAAAATTCCAGTAGAGCTGAGTCAGCAAGGCACTTGAATTGCTCAAGGCACTTTTTTCACGTCACCAGTCAGCTCGGATAATTTTTTTATTTCAGGCTGAAATGTTTTTCAAGCAATACTACTATTCAATATTTGTATCATAGCTTCAAAGTATCTCTGATTAGGTCATGTGATGGGTAAGTGCTTAGTGAAAGACAGTCCCTAGTTTTCTATTCTAAATGGCTTCTGTGGTTGAAAAGATGATACAAGTATTCACATCCTAACTGAGCTAACTAGTGAGAAATCAGTCAGACTCATAATCCTTACAGTTCATTGCTAGTTCCTCCATACAGATCTTTAAAGTGTACACTAGATGCTCTAGTCCATCCACATACATGTTTGTATGATTCCCTGTTACTGTGTAAAAAATCAAAGCTAACCCCACAGCACCATTACAGAAGTGAGTTCTGGTTACAGAATTTGCATTTTATCAGCCTAGTGCTTTTCCTCACTCTCCGCGAACTGTGAAGAAAACAATTCCGATCGGCTGTGTCTGTTCTTCTCCACTCCCAAACTCTATGCTGCCATGCAGACAGAAAAGTTGCTTTTTAAATAAATATTGCAAATGCGTATTTAAGACAAGCTTATATCTTCCAGCTCTTTCTCCATAGCTGCTTTCTCCCTGTGGAAATCCTTTATTAATTTCAGCTTTAATTGAATTTGGCCAATTTCTCCAACTTTTTTTTGAAATTTCTCTTCCACTTCTTTTATTTGTTGGGCATAACAATCTGCCTGCAAACCAGAAATTCTCAATAAGAAGAAAGCAAAATGAGAAAAAACAATCATCAAATATTCTAACATAAAACACACAGCACACAGAACTGAATGTCTGAAATTATACCAAGCTGCAGTGTTTTAAAAATCACGAGGAACTCATCATTAGAAGAAATGCTGCAAACCCAGCAGAAGCTACCAGCCAGTGAAACAACAAGTCTAGAAATGAACAGTAAGTTTCAACCAACATCCCTAATATCATTGTACTGGGTTTACGTGGCAAGGTTTTGGTAGTGGGGGGGCTATAGGGGTGGCTTCTGTGAGAAGCTACTGGAAGCTTCCCTTATGTCTGATGGACCCAGTGCCAGCCAGCTCCAGGACGGACCAGCTGCTGGCCAAGGCCGAGCCCATCAGCGACGATGGTAGCACCTCTGTGATAACATATTGAAGAAGAGGAAAAAAACTCCTGCGCACCTGCAGTGGGAAGAGCAGAGTGAGACAGCCAGCCCCGGGAGGGACCAGCTGCTGGCCAAGGCCGAGCCCATCAGCGACGATGGTAGCACCTCTGTGATAACATATTGAAGAAGAGGAAAAAAACTCCTGCGCACCTGCAGTGGGAAGAGCAGAGTGAGACTATGTGGGAGAAACAACTCTGCAGACACCAAGCTCAGTGCAGAAAGCGGGGGAGGAGGTGCTCCAGGCACTGGAGCAGAGGATCCCCTACATCCTATGGAGAAGACCATGGTGAGGCAGGCTGTGCCCCTGCAGTCCATGGAGGTCCACGGTGGAGCAGAGATCCACCTGTAGCCCATGGAAGGGACCCCACGCCAGAGCAGGTGGATGCCCCAAGGAGGCTGTGACCCCGTGGGGAGCCCGTGCTGGAACAGGCTCCTGCCAGGACCTGCAGACCTGTGGAGAGAGGAGCCCACGCTGGAGCAGCTTTGCGGGTAGAACCTGTGACCCCAGGGCGACCCATACTGGAGCAGTCTGTGAAGAACAGCAGTCTGTGGGAAGGACTCCTGTTAGAGAAGTTCATGGAGGACTGTCTCCCATGGGAGGGACCCCACGCTCGAGCAGAAGAGTGTGAGGAGGAGGAAGCGGCAGAGACAACGTGTAGTGAACTGACCGTAATCCCCATTCCCCGTCCCCCTGCACTGCTCAGGGGGAAGAGGCAGAGCAATTTGGAGTAAAGTTAAGCCCGGGAAGCAGGGAGGGGTGGGGGCAGGTGTTTTAAGATTTGGTTTTATTTCTCATTATCCTGCTGTGATTTGATTGGTAATAAATTAAAGTCTGTTTTGCCCATGACAGTAATTGGCAAGTGATCTCCCCGTCTTCATCTCGACCCACAAGTGTTTCATTGTACTTTTCTCCCCTGGTCCAGCTGAGGAGGGGGAGTGATAGAGTGGCTTGGTGGTCACCTGGAGTTCAGCCAAGGGCAACCCACCACATCTATCATCTATAGCCTTTCTTGCTCCTTATAATTTGAGGATGAGAGCAAGCTCCTTGTGGAGTCTCCTTGATGGGATTTAACTGTCTGAAAGTGAAGATGAGCACAGTTCTGTGTTTCTTACTGAAGCCAGACTAACACATAACAATTTTCTCAGCTCTTTTTAAGAAATCTTGGTTCAACAGTAATGGATGGAGGAGAACTATAAAAGAATTCATAGTAGCTATTGATTATCTCAGTAAAAATGAAACATGTTTTTGCTGTGCCTCTGGCCTCACCGTTACTCAGCTGGTTCCTAATACTATTTCAGATGCTATAAAATATTCCTGCTACTATCTGAAATAATACTACAAAGTCATGGGATAAGTCCCACAGCACCATTGGTTTTTTTCAAGTCATTTCTTCATGCAATATTTTTGCATCAAAACCTGTAACAGTTAACTGACCTAGCTTGTTCCTCATAGTAAAATCAGAACTACTTTTCAGCCTGCTCAGAAGATCCCACTGTTCCGAGGACAAAGAGAAAAGTTCATTCACCAGCTGCTGCTTCTCTTCTTGCGCTTGCTGTTTCAAATCAATCAGGTCCTGCTTCAGTTTCTCAAACTGTGAAAAAAGAAATCAAGAAACAATAACTGGGGGGGGGGGAAGAGTATCCTTGCTGTGTTCTTCTCTTCAAACTTAATTATAAGACACAGAAAGAAGGGAAAGGCCACTCATTTGCAGTGTTCAGGTCAATTCAGCCATGTTTAAAACTGTTTGATTTGTGCTGAGCATAGGAAATAATGTAAACTTAAACTATAAATACCCACACGTATTAGATACAAGCAGATGTGCAACTCTGCTGAAAAATTAAAACTATGTGGGCAGAGGGTTTTATTCCTGTTTTCGACAGTGGTGCAATGTTAGAGAAGCAGTTTAGGAAAGGAGAGAAAAAAAGACAGCTATGGAGAGAAAATCAGGCAGCTGGAAAACGGTCAGGATATGATCTTCTATACTGGATATGCTGAAGGAAAACGGTGGGATGCGAGCAAGAAAACTGCCTCCTACCATTTGACCTCACCAGTATCCTGGGGATCAGAGCTCTGTGTCTTCTTACTCACTAAATACGATGTTAAAGTAATTTAATTTTAGTTTCCATTTTCAGTTTCTTTCTCCAACTGAAAAAAAGGGGCTTGCTTGGCACTTGGACTTAGAAAGGTGGGAACAGGGCTAAAGCAAAATAATCTGCGATAGAGGAGACGGAAGCTACAGGCAGCTCTGCTTTATCTCCACGGCACTCCGAGTGGAGCTCGGCACCGTTTTCTCTAACACCTTCTCCAGGCAGCCAAAGCCAGCGGGCTCCCCCTTCGCCTTCCATCTTTTCAGGCTGACCAGACGCTTCAGCGTCCTCCGCACACTGCGGCGCCGGTGCCCCCGACCATCGCGGGGCCCCTCCCCCGAGTTCGCCCCGG